AAAACCTTAACTAATTAGCTAAATTATCGACTTTGAGAGGAATTGTCTTCCTAGCAGACGAAAATTTTGATGGCAAGACTGCATCCATCTTTCATTAGTTCTATTTAGATTAGCAGTGTATTTTGTCTAACATTGTACGATGTTTTTTGTTATTACTTTTAGTATTCAAAGATTCTTCGACACCGTCTCCATTCCGTGATGATTTGTTTAAAGATGATCCTAATGTGAAAGATGATCATATTCATCTGGATAGTACAGCAGCTGGTTGGGGTTGTTGTTGCTTGCAAGTGACATTTCAAGCTGAATCATTTGAAGGAAGCCTTCATCTCTACGACCAGTTATTACCATTGTGTCCAATTATGGTAAAAATTTTTCTATTCTCATATTTTGTCTGAAAATTAAACGTTTGATAGTTGTGCTTGAGTGCAGCCTGTCCGATATGGCGTGGCTATTTGTCTGATGTTGACTGTCGTTGGAATATCATCAGCGCAGCAGCTGACGATCGAACAGCTGTAGAGAGACAGCAGGAAAATATGTTGTCACGTTACGGTCCCACGCCTTTTTACTTAACAGACGAAAAAAAGCACTTGAATGATTTGGATTTTCCTGTTTGTGATGAAGTCGTTCAAAAACTGATCTCTCAAGGTTGTAATGCGTGCGATTAAGTCTGAAAGGATGAAATATTTACTAATTTTATAGGAATACCTGAAACATTATCACATCATTTTGGTCATTTGTTCGTTCGAGATCCACTGGTGATTATCGAAGAATTCCTTCATCCGAAAGACGATTCGAATTCATATCATTTTGAAGTTCGTCGTTAGTAACTTTGTATATATTATTCTTAAGAAAGTCTTCTTTTAGAATTTGAATTCTCTCGTATGGAATACGCTGCGATTAAAACCGCCACCATTAGATGACGATTTAATGGGTTGGAGAGTAGAATTTCGACCGATGGATGTAAACTTATTTGATCGTTTCATATCGACAAAAGAAGTAAATTCGTTCTTGCTTTTCTTTAGATTCAAATGACCGACTTTGGCAATGCTGCACTCACTGTCTTTGTAGCATTGATGACTAGAGTTATTCTAACATATAATCTTGATTTTGCTATTCCAATTTCTCAAGTGAATGAAAATATGAATAGAGCTCATCATCGTGATTCGGCACGTCAAAAAAAATTCTATTTCCGATTTGGTAATGAAATATCTGAAATGTGTATGAATGAGATTATCAATGGGAACAACAATTTTCCTGGTTTGGTTCCACTAGCACGACAATATGTCGGCGAAAGAGAAGATATTGATGCTGATACCAGATTTACTGTCGAACAATATCTTCTACTTGTTTCAAAACGAGCAGCTGGTAGACAGTTTCTCTTGTTTCATGTTTTTTTTTCTTATTGAATGCAATTCTATTTAAGGAACTTTAATGACAAATGCATCTTGGATTCGACAATTTGTACTGTCACATCCATCGTACAAACAAGATTCAATTGTAACTGAGGAAATTCAATATGATCTCGTTCGGAAAATGGAACAAATATCTAACGGACATGAAGATTGTCCGCAAATTCGACAACCAAATATGGAGACACATACCGATTTGCATGCTGAATAATGAGAAAACAAAATTTTGCTTTGCTTTGTAATTTCGTAAGACGTTGCTTTTGCCCGTATTCCTGTGAAAATTCAGCAAGATATTAACAATAAATATATACATTTTCGTGCGTCAATGGATAACGAGAAAATGCAAGTTCATTTTGTTCCGCAGCAAAAATCGAAGATTTCATTTTTCTGATCATAAAAATTAATTACGAATGTTTGAATATGAAAAACATGTCCAAATCGATATTTTTCGATCACAATTCTCTTCTTGAAAGGGCGTGCGGTTGATATTGAGAGGCAAGGGCTAAGTGTCGAGAATGAGGATCAGAGTACCTAAATACTTTAATACGTGAACGCAGTTCAACTTTTCGAGTTTGACACTATTAATTGTTGCCTGCCATTGGTTTTGTTTAAAGTGAATCATTGCTTCCAAACATAAATCTAAATTTTTACTCATGATTACGCATCAAGATGGCTATAGCTTCGTATGATACACGATATGAAAATGAATTCAACACGAGAAAATGAAACTATGAGTCAAGCATATGTACGCTCGTTGTATATATGTGGACAAGATCGTCAATTGACTATAAACAAGTTCGAACTACATAGTCCATATTATCATACTTTGCATATGTATGTTAAACCAATTGAATTATCTTATTGTTCATGCACATCCGATTTTGAATATATTTAGGGAAATATGAAACGGCATTAACCGATAGAATTGCCTGAAAAGTGAAAACAGACGAATATTTGAATGCATCTTCGCATGTCATTTGAGCAATGAATATACAGCGGTGACATCTCCTATTGATTCGATATTCTTAATTATACATTTGCTATACAAAAACGGGTGGACCATGTTCTTTGTCGTGATTGGCCTTTTAATTGTTTGATACAGACGACCGTTGAATTTTTATGTGAACAAAACGCACAGGTCACTCATCGTTGAACTTAAAAGTTAAAAAATACACACATGGCCGATTCAGATACAGCTCCATTACACCGCTCAACAGAAATTAAAGACTTAACACATCTAACTGAAAAGGACAAAGAACACATTGCTGAAGATGCTGAAACAACAGACACTTCAATTCATCGAAGTCCAGAAGTGGAAGATTTAGCTCATATCTCGCCTCAAGATCTGAATAAAGCTTCAGCTGATGATCATTCTCATCTTCATCATCACCATCATCATCATCATGAGCATCAAACTACAAATAAACAAACCAACTAATATCTCTCTGATTTGTGCATTGTTTGTTTTTGGAAAAAATATAGTTGAAATTAGTACTTGATAATAAAATTTTCCAAGCATATTTCATCAACTTTATCGGGTTAATGAGACGATCAATGAACGGAGAATCTATAATTGATTTCTATTGATCTACAAAGAATATAGGATATATACGTAAGTAAACGTCAACGACATATCTCAGTTGTTGTAATTTATTCGCCAGTTAACAGAATTAGTAAGGCATAATGAGATTTGCATTTGATCATTATCTTCCCAGGTCAAACAATCCGACACGGAAATGGTCGGTTCCGAGGTATTCCAGATGAGCGGATCCGGTGGCCGGATTTATCTGGTTTGGGCCGGAACCGACAGGAACATGTCAAAACCGGTAGCCAGAAACGGTTACCGCATTTCTCCATCGAATTCCTGGCGTTTTCCGGACAGGTTCCACTCAGAAATGGCGTGTTTCCTCAAGGATTTAGTCGGATATTCATGGAATTCTGCTTCAGGAACCATCGTTCTGCGGGTTATACTCGATCTATAAATCAAAAGAAAGCAAACTCTGACTATTATTGTTGACATTTACTCGACTTTTAAATATTAAAAACAGAAGATATTAACTGTAAAAAAATATATCTATGAAGAAAACAACAGTATGCGTATATCTGTCTGAATTTTCAATGTCTGTGTTTTTGTTGATAAATGTTCAGCTTATTTCTTGTGACATGCATCATTATTGCAGATAATATATACTTTTTTATTAGCAATTTGTTCCATAATCTCATAAGGAGATATTTGATTCTATTAAAGCCTCACAAGCAATAAGCACGCAACTAATCAACTGCAGTATATTCATTTTCCGAAGAATTACGTTGTGTTTTCCAGTGCCCTTCGTTTTTCGTCAAAGTACTATTTAAACGGATTAAGCCCTCAAGTAGCTCTAAATAAAAAAGGTTCATACACATATATAATAATATAAAACAATGTAGATGAAAACTACTATGACGTATTTCCGAACCATCTCGGTAACAATAAGAGTAATACACTTGGCGATCAATTGAGTAGTCGGATCAGGAGCCAATTAAAGACGGCCGAAACGAAATAAAAGGCGTGACACCACAAGAAAATTTTTCAAAGTTGAAACTTTTTTGTATAACTTTTTTGTAATGTGGGAAATGAAATAACTATTTTACCAACTTGGTGACCTTTTTTGCGAAAGCTGATGATTTATTAATATCAACTGATAGTGTTTTTGAGCGATATATAACTCTGATGCCACTGGAGATAATGGTAGCACCAGAACTGGGCAACTCAATTTAAAAAATGGTCAACTCAGTTCAATTTTGAGTTGAAAGGAACTGAGTTGGGAAGAATTTCTAGAGTTGATGAATTGAATTGAATTGAGTTGGAAATTTTTTAAGCATTACGTAGTTGAGTTGAATTGGACACCTTTTTGAGTTGAGTTGCCCAGCTCTAGGTAGCACTGCTAATCTGATACACATGCTTCATTGTTTAATGCGAAAGCCGAACAACTACATTTAATGTTTCTTTTCGTGCTAATGATCATAAGTGTAAAAACCTAAAGAAAAAAGATTGATTAACTCTGACGTTCGAATTATTACATATGTTTATACCAAAATATCGCTGGATCGCACGAAGGTCATACTTAACGACACATACGATCGATGATGGATAGACCATTATTTCCATGTACCAATAAACAAATTTTTATAACGTTCTTCATAAAATCGTAGGCAAACATTTTTTGAAGAGTGATGAGGGTAATTGTCCTACTTGACCAACGTCTATTCTTTTTTCCTCTATATACCGATATGCCATTCAGTAAGGATGTGCACTGAACAACAGTTTTCTTTCACTTATTGTTTTCGTGACATACACTCATGATCTGAATAAAGATGCAAGTATTCGATAAAAACATTCAAAATGAATTACCTGCCATTTTACTTAATTTCTGTACAACGGTGACATCTCCTATTAATCAAATTTTTTAAATTATATACTTTATGGCACGAAAGGGGGCAAATTCTTTTTCATGATTGGTCTTTTAATTATCTGTTATGGATGGGAACTTTTTCGAAGGAGCAAACACACGCACCATGCATCGTTAGCTTCAAAGGTTAAAAGATGTACACATGACCGATTTAGATCCAGCTCCACTACATCGCTCAACAGAAATTAAAGACTTAACACATCTAACTGAAAAGGACAAAGAACACATCGCTGAAGATGTTCAAACAAGGGATAGTTCAATTCATCGAAGTCCCGTAGTAGAAGACCTAGCTCACGTCTCACTGCAAGATGCAGATAAATTATTAGCCGCTGATGAAACAAAATAAATTCCATAGGGTGACACATCTTTCGTGTTTTATTCATCATATCATAGCATTGCTCTCGCCTATCGATCTTGTTTTGACAATAAAGTCATTTGTTCGTATGGTTCTTTGTTCAATCAAATAAATAAACAATTCATATTTCAGAATAAAAATGGGTGCATCCGGAACCAAACGAGTCATTCAAGCTGAATTATCTCAAGACCAACTTGACTATTTAAAAATGCGAACACGAATGACAGAAGAAGAAATTCAAAAATGGTTTCGTACGTTCATATAATTTAAATATCTGTTTCAGAGTTGAATCTTTTTCTTAGATGGCTTTTATAAAGATTGTCCGGATGGTCTCTTAACACAAAAACAATTTATTCTCATGTATAATCATGCGTTTCCAGACGGAGATGCAACGCAATATGCTAAAAGAGTATTTGTTACTTTTGACAAAGATAATTCGGGTTTGCGTTTTTTTTCTTTATCGTCATGAAGAACATTCCGTTTCGAATTCTCTAGGGAAAATTGATTTTACTGAATTTCTCTTAGCAATGGATTTAATGGAAAATGGCAATTTAGATGAAAAACTTCGTTATGCATTTCAATTATACGATGTTGATAAAAACGGAATTTTAACTAAGTCAGAAATTGAAACAATTATCAAGATGATTCTTTCACTCCGTGGTGAAGGAAACAATGATCGTCTGAAAAACGATGTTATGAAACACTTGAATCAATTTATTACAAAATTTGATGAAAATAATGATGCGAAAATAAGTCAAGATGAATTTTGTCGGATTTGCTCACAAGACGAATATCTTAAAGAATTCCTATCACCAAATTTTTCTTCGTAATTCCTTTTCGTTTGTTATACTTGAAATTTCTTCGGTTTCGTCACGTGAAGCGATTCAACTGAATCAATCTCGTGCTAAAATTTCTTTACAATATTCGAGAAATGAAATAAATGCTTTTTGTAAATGAGTTGACATTTGTCTGGAAATAGATAGCCAAGTTTCAAAACTAAAAATACATATTCACTGCGCGAGACATTCGTATTTAGACGCTGGAAGGCAATAGACGAGATTTACAATTATTTCAATCAATTATACTTCAAAAAGAGTGTTATGCCAACGAGAAAGTCAATATTGATTCATATGTATATGTTAATTGCAAGATAGAGATAACGAGTGTTTTGTATACTTTCTTCAATACGAATCTGTGTAGTATTTAGCTCATTATCAGCATGAAAATAATTTTTCATCGAAAATAGATGTTTCTCTCTTATCCTTGCAGAGAGCTCATCAATAGCTGGAAATGTTAGATGGCAACCTCATTCATATGATCCAATGTGCTAATCAAGATTAGAAGGAAATAATAAAAAAAATGAGAGGCAGTCAGAATTTGATATAAGTGATGAAACTGAATCGTTATTCTTCCTATTGATGTCATTTCAAACGGCAAATCAAGGATATTACGAAGAAATTAATCAGATGAAAAACGAATATGAGCAGTATAAAATATTTCATTTATTAATCAGTAGAAGAATCAATGGGACGGGTTTGGAAAATTCTCTGTTTAACATTCATTAATGAATATAATGTGTCGTTTAACAAATGGTGTGATTGGTGACGACATCTATGAGCAACTTTTTTTAACAGGACGGAGGATGATGGTATAATATAGATTGGAATCATTTTCTGATGACTATGCTTTATGTGTCACTGGGTGACTGACGCACTGTTTGCTTATACTATCCGTACTTTTGTTTGGTGAAGAAATTTCTCTTTTGATATAATCAACGACGAATATGCCAAAACAATCTCAGAATGAAGTCGATCAGATGGTTCAACGGGCGCGAGTAAAACATGAATAGAAGAAGGAAATAATTCGTTTGAATAAAATCTTTCTTTTTTTTTCTTCAAGCCATTAAATCGTGACGTAGTTCGTCGTGATCTTATTCAAGCGGTTAATTCATCAGCTAGTAATTTAGTTTTAAAACTATGTGAATATTTTTACAATGACGGAACATCGAAAGAGCTGCTCTGTTTATGTGGAACGGTGACATGTCACTATAAAGGAAGTCGATATAATATTCCAGTCGAAATATGGCTTCAACCTGATCATCCGAATAGCGCACCATTAGGATATGTTAAACCAACAACAGATATGTATGTATCATCGACAAGTAAAGATGTTCAACCGGATGGAACTATTGTTATTCCGTATTTGAAAAATTGGCGTCATGTAATACTTTTTCGTTCGATAGGTTTTTTTTCAATTTACATCTGATTTTATTGTAGCCAAATAGTGATTTAAATCGTTTGTTAACCGCAATGTCAGACGCATTTAGTCAATCTCCACCAGTGTTTTCAAATGCTGGTTCAGCAACACCATATCCAACAACTGCGTCAATGCCAACGCCACAAACATTCATAGCAAATACAGGTCAACCTGCTTCACATTCATTTACGAATGGAACCTCACGACAACAAAATCTTGAGAGCGTTTATCGAGCATCTCTCGAATCGGCTGTCGAGAAGAAAATTACGGATCGTCTTAGAGAAACCGTTCAAATAAGCAACGTACAAATTGATTCATTGCGAAAAACGGAACAAGATTTAACAGACGGTCAAAGAAAGCTTCAAACATTAATTAATGATGCACAACAACAGCAAACTCATGCACAGGTTGTCATCTTTCAACTAAGAATTCTTTGACAGAAGTGTATTTTTGTTTCAGAACTATATTGCAACGATTCGAGCAAAAACGAATGAAATGTTAGATGCAGCACAGAAAATGTCATCAGCTGGGAAAGAAAACTCAGTTAAAGATGATGCTGTCATCACACCTGCACCTGTCTACAAACAGTAATGTCCTTTGTTCGTTTTCTACTCACGATTTATTCTTCATTGTTTTTTTCTCCTAAAAAGACTTTTGCAAGCTTATGCTGAAGAACATGCAATTCAAGATTTGCTATACTACCTTGCAGAAGGACTTCGACGAGAATCAATCGGACTAGATACTTATTTGAAAGTATGTCGTTTGTTTTTGTATTTCGAAATTCGAATGATTTATTTGTTTGTATTTAGCATGTTAGAGAACTTTCTCGAAAACAATTCATTTTGCGAGCAACCATGCATCGATGTCGACAAATTGCTGGCTTATCTGTGAAATAGACACTTTTCTCTCTTATTCAATAAAATTCAAACTACATAAATAGATAAAAACAATGAAGACTCCGAGCATCGATTTCGGTGCCTCTCGCATGGAAAGCGAGCGCTCTACCGTGTGAGCTAAGCCCTCTATGTATGAAAACTTGCTTCTTTTAATTCTGTTATTTTGTATTATACATGAAAATTCAAATAAATAACTTAATCATTCGAATACCTGATCTATGCGTGTCAGTAAGAACGTTCTGCTCTGAAGCTTGAGTGCGATTGCTGCTTGAAGAATAATTCATCTTTGATAAAAGATTAAATGGTCATGACATGACAACATACGATGATTAATTCGAATGACAATTGTTACAAGCAAAGATTTTCTTCAAGAAAAAGCTGATCGAGTAAGCAAAGTCAAACTGCTTTTGATAGTTGCTATATATGAAAGTTAAAGAATAATTCATGATCATTCTTTTTGGTTGAGTCGATTCTTCTCATTTCATACGAGCGTCAATGCAATATTTGACCAAGTCATTACTATCAACTTCTTTTTATTGCAAATCAGGTTAAAGATAAAAAAAAACATGATAGAAAGGGTCGTCAATCTCGTTTATTCGGTGTTGATCGTGATCCACTTTTACTGCTGCCCGGAACATAATCACCACGTAATGCTGCGGTTACACTTTTACGTTGTCGTTTTCTGCTCAGGTAAAGAAAAATAGCGACTGCAAGTGAGAATGCCAAAAACATTAGCCAATTCTTGGCCGCTAAACAAAAGAAGGTATAGATAAAAGGCTGTACACAGCATAAAAATCAAAGAAAACCGTACCCATTTCAAAAATATACGACCATTTGAGAAGACCTGTGTCTGTTTCTGGCCGAGATGAACGTGTTGCCTGTTCTATTTCGGGTTCATCTTCAATTGTTGCATCGTCTGACATTTTATTAACTTTTTAATCTACAATGGAACGAAACAAAAAAAGATTTCGAAATCTTGCTTTTCTTTTCTCGATAAACACGGCACAAAAAAAGGAAAAAAAGCTGTTTATTGCTGCTTTTTCGTTTGTTCAGTAGTTGGCACAGGAGCCGACCAATAGTATCCTAATTGAAATATCAGCAAAGAAATCGCCAATGTATTTAAGACGTATGTCCAAATAAGCGTTGGATCGCCCGTTTCTTGAATCGATGTAAAGATGCGTGCAATGGAACCAAAGAATAACATTAACACTGTAATCGCAGAAAGATTCCCTGTTGATTTATCTCGATATATGCTAATCGATTGAAGTAAACGACTGATTAAACTGAAAACGAGTGATAAGCCAGCTAGTGTATTAACCAGCTGAGGCGGAAGTAATTTTTGGAACATTAAAAACCCAGCAATGCTGCATAAAACTAAAGTAAAGAGGAAGAAATGAATCTTTTTTCTGATTAATTATTAAAATACTAGATATCTTCTCTTAGTTGGTTGGTGCCTCTCTTTGATAAAGTTCTTTCATAGCTAAATTGTTTTTTTTGTTCTTCAACAATGAGATTATGTAAATTATCTCTACTATTTACATTCTTTTACCGCAGGCAATCCGTTTTCCTGACTTCAAATAGGCGTAACTTTTTAACTATCTCATTATAAGCATCAATACATATGTATGTAAATGGATAAACATATGGCGAAGGAATGATAGACAAATATTTAAGGTTTATCTGACATTGATATTTTCTCACGCAATTTTAATGCCTTATACTTTTAAATATTCTGTTCATAATCGTGTTATATGTTTTATCACTGACCAATAGAAGAACATTAGCGTCCAAATACACGTTCTTTCTTTCCTTCCTTCCTTCATATGTCATACTCGTGCCTTCAATCTCATTCGAAGTTTAATCGAAAAACGGACCTTGTTACTCATCTTCGTAATTTCGATAAAAATATGGCATCTTGGAGCTTCATCTAAATCATGAGAAAGAAACAAAACTCCATACGAACCTAAGTACACGACGACGGCTAAATATCTTTTTTGATAATAAAGTACCAATAAGATGATTAATAAGGTTTGAATAAAAAGAAAATATGAGTCACCGTAGACCGAAAGTGCGTAGCCTGATGTATAACCATATGCCATCGTTCCAAATATCGCGACTAACATAATGGTTTCAGCAAAGACACTGATACCAACGCCTGATTTGTTCCATTTGATTTTCACGATTTGAGGAAGTTTAACTAACAATGAGCCAACAAGTATCGCATAGCCAAGTATTTTGCTTAACAACATTTTGTTGCAGGCCATATCAAAGAAATGTTGTTTTAACACAAGTTCATCATAACAATGAGGCGATAGTAAACCAGACACCAATGATTCAAATGATGATGATAGTAAATCCGAGAGACCCATTTCTTGTGTTTGCGTGCTTGATTCGTAGAATTAATCGACGGACGAAAACTTCTTTCGAGAAAATCTTGTACGAGCGTAAAAACAAATGAGTGAGAAGAAAAATCCTAATGAGCAAACGTGTCCACCTCTGGAACCAATCCGATCTTTAGATAATAGATGTCGGTATAAACAGAAATCCTATATCAAAATTACAGACACCTTGCATTAATCATAGTCATGTACCCGAACATATAGAGTTGAAGAAGCTTACATCGATCTAATGGCAATGACTCGATTCGTCATAATGATTGCAATATTTCTGCGATTGACGAAAACTTCTCCCACATGTGATAGAGTTAACCAAATCATTTCCTTTTTCTGCTTTGACCTGGTCTTTTGCAAGTGCTGAATATACAGTCTCATGTATGAGCTGACAAACCACTTTAGATTTTGGTCTATCGACTCTATCAATTATTAGTACAGATCAAGCGACAAGCTCACATCATGTTGAGATCACTCTGTAAAGTGTTTTAATGTCATGTATGTCAGTTTCGTAGGAAGTTTGTCGTTAGATATTTAGCTTTTCTTTTATGATTAAAGTGAATTTGATATTTTATCAAATTATTTTGATGTAAAAAGCATCAAAACTGAAAATAAAAAAGGAAATTACATTTTTCACTTAGTGGATTTGTTTATCTCAAATAATAGAAAGATCTTTCATAGCGAGTAGCATAGATTTAACCAGTGATGCTGATTAGTTTTCAGCCTCCGATGTGATGAGTGGCGACTGATGAGAGGAAATCTTTTATTTTGCATATAGAGAATATATATATATATATATCCAAGGTTTCTTTTCTCTTTTGAGCCGAAAGAAGAAAATAAGTTTCTCTTCTAAATGCAATCTTCCTGTTTTTTTTAATGTCTATATTCATTATTATCCAGAAAAACGACAGGCAGTAGTTTTCTTTCCGGTATATGTCAATAACTAGTGAACACAATTTTGTTTCACAGACTCGAGTTCTATTTTCACCCATCCTGAGTGACGTTTCTTTTCTATACTTGAAAGTTACTTTAGAAGTTAATTCTTTTCAATTTGTCTACAATTGAACAAATGACGAATTGATTCGATTGGTATTCATATACCATTTAGACAAAAGGAAATCCAGCTGAGACGAGAGAAGAAAAATATACGCTTACTTGATTAAACAAGCAAGAAGAACGAAAGAAGGAAAGAAAAGAAAAGAAAAGAAAAAGAACCATTCTATTCTTATTTACTTGTTATTTTCCGAGTTTTGTATAATGTCATCACCATCATCTCAAACAGTGTCGCCACTACCACCATCATCATCGTCCTTATATCGTTCAAATGAACTTGCTAACTTGACCACAGCTTCGCAATTCACGTCGAATTCAACAAGCTTTGCACCACTTCATCGAACGGTCGAGGTCGAAAATCTTCACGATCATATCGATGACAATAATGAGCAACAGCCACCCACAGCGTCGAAGAAAGTTTTGACAAAATGTATGACTGTTATTGGAGATGGAAGTGACAAGCAAATTTCTTAGCTATTCTTATCTTATAGATGTTCTTCATAACTCTCGCTCCTCGTCTTTTACATCAATAAATAAACAGATTCATGAAATTCGAGCTCATCTCAAATTCCGAAACAATTAAAGTATAGAATTACATAAGAGAAGAACGCTTCGTTTCATNATCGGAAAAAATCGTTGGCAAATGTCATTAATAAACTGCCAACTTCATCCGATCAATGTCCATTTAGTAGTTTTCGATCGCCACCTTCTTTTATTTGACACGAAAACAAATGAAAATCCATATTCTGTTGGCTCATTGTTCGTTTTTTGTGGAAAAATTATAGTAGAGAGATTCACTACGACTTTTCTAAACAAAAATTACTATACGACGAAATGATATATATGAAGAATGTAAGAACACGAGGTGATTTTCAATGTTGTACTCTATTTGTTACATTCGTAAGCGCGTACAAGGTAAATGAGAGATATAAAGAACAAATGAGAAAAGTTACATATGGAAGTTGTATCAATACAACGCGTATTAGAATTAATTATTGTATTGAACTAACGCTTTCTCTAAACATCCTTTAGCAGCTTGAAGGATATAAAAGTATATTGAAAACGTAAAACGAAAAAGAGACTGATAGGGCAGAAAATCTAAGAAAGAAAGAAACATGAGCTGAAGACCAAAATGGAATTTTTTTCTTTCTGTTTATATGACTCAACAAAAGGTAACCATCTCGCCGAAGAAAATCTTTCGAGAAGGAAATATCAATGAAGAAAAGAAATGTGTCTAAATCTGTAGCATCTATGGTACTCTCAAGCTCTTGTAGACGTGGTTTCCAATATTAAATTTTAAAGAATTCTCTGATGCTGTCGTGTATAGTTGTTGTAACGACACAAACAATCAATGATGTACCAATCTAATACTTGCTCGGAACTGTAACTACAAAAACTCTCTCTTTCTCTCTCAGTATATATAATAGTATTGAATAGAAAGGAGGGCAACTGAACGAAATTAGGGAAGTTATGAGCAAAGAATCGCTGTTATAGTACCTCTGTGGAAAGATAACAGTCAGACTTGACTTACGTCACTTTTTATAAGGATAATTGAATATTTGTCAAACACCTGACTATAGTCGGTTTTATTGAAAGTTTATCTGTCCGCGTAAATTTTAGCTGCTTGGATTCTTTTATGATTACTATCTTTATTCATCATCACGTTGGCTACTGTATGGCACAGAAGATGGTCATTAGAAGATACACATTATAAAACTACGTTTCATCTAATGCATGTGTCCTGAAAACGAAAACAAAGTTGTATAACAACTTGTTTATCTTTGGAAAACATGCGACCATATAGATTTTCTTTAGAGTGTATTACGCTAGGTCTTAGCAGACATGTAGTAATTAATCGTTGGTGTCCCGTCGGTCCACCACTCACCAGCTATCAAAATACTTCCAATGGCAATGGAATCGCATTGAAAAAGTGAAAATATTTAGCGAGAGCATTTACGAATACTTCTATAAAGAGATCAACAAGCGCATAACAACAGTCTCGTCATTTGAACAGCATAGCAGAATTCGAACCCTATATGATAATATTGATAAAGCGTATTAAACAAATACTCTGAGAATAATAAGCACGCATTCTCTTTCATAGCTCATTAGCGCTAGAGTCTCATCTGTCTAATATCATTATAAATGGGAGCTTATAATCTACTCAATTGTTACTCCTATTAACAGTCAATATAACCCGATTAATCATTTATCTCACTAATTATTGTCTGGTCCGGAACAAGGTGTTGCTTTATTGAAACCGATCATTCTACCATCTTGAAAACTTCAAACCATCATGCCGTCGATGTTCATGCTTTACAGCAAATTTTGAAGATTCGACAACTTCAGTTTCAAATGAAACTCATTACATTTCATAGCAACACAATTGACAAGTTAGTTTATCACGGCTTGCTAAAAGAGTTACGCCCTTTATTTTTTAAATCATCTATCGTATTATTCTTATGCAAACCGATCGCCTATAGATACTCTTCCAAAAATAAAAAGAGATATGGCGGATCATAAGAATATCATAGAAAAGTAGAATACAGATCAGAATATAATGCTTTTCTTACGGATTCCGTCACATATTTGCTGAATGACACTGTAGAAATGAACAGCAGAACATGAAACTCTAAATCGCTATCGTTGCACGTATAATCTGCCAAGGGCTTTAGACCATACTGGAAACCTTTGAAAACTTCTCCACTTCAAAGGCTTTTAAAAATAAGCATATATTTTCAGATGACCTATCAGCTTTCGGTTAAAGGTCAGTTTAAATTAAAAGTCTTCCATGCAGCCACTAAACTTCTTCGCACACACAGATAGACCATATTAGAATCATGCAGATCGAGACATTATGATTCGGTTAGCATTCTATGGTTCAGATATATCTTTAATCACACGCAATCACTTCTGCTACTTATTCGTTTTCGTACAATAAAGCTATGCTGCTCCCTTTCGACACAGGAGGACAGCGGTTTTTTTTAATCCTCGTCTTAAGTATGTCCTCCGATCGGTACGAAAATTGATTCAGATCTGAAATTGTTTTCGAATATACTTTGAATTAGTTTTTACTTCGATAGCGATTTCACATGATCTTGAAAGTTTCTCTACGAGTTGAAGCTAAGAATAAGCATGTGAGATCCTGCCAGGTACAGGATGTAACCGAGTCTGTAGCTGTGTATATTCCCAGGCACTCTCGGCAGACGAGAGAGTAAACAAAAGACTAGATGGAAATCGTTCAAAACCTCTTCAAGGATTTTGTACTGTGTAATTCTTTTTTTTGATAATGTAAAGTGTATCAAAAGCATCTCTTAATAAGCTTATCGTGTGTCCTGAATAACTTTAAAAAGGAGTGCTATTGATTTGCACCGGTTTTCTCATCGAATAAGTTCTATGATACTCATGTAGCTCTCTGAAATGCTCTTTTTTATATCATTTGTGTCTACTTTTATAACTGAAGATATTCCTCTAGTTCTGATTTATTTCAACTACCAATGCATGGCCTAATAACAATAGACTATCTTCAAACACAGACATTGATTGTGAACCGTATTGGTCAATACGACCTCAGCTAAACTTGTGAATTACGGTGCGTTCACTAATCATTTATACGTTGTACTAAATAGAAATATCTTTCAAAGAAAGTTTTGACTAGAAGTCAAGAATCGTGTTTCAAATTATATGAGCGCTAGAAAAATCAGACGCTGTGGTGCCGCATCTGCCTTGATAGCTAAAATATGACGCGCGATATTTACTAACTAATTATGCTTGCTATACAATCTGATTTAGCTTTGGCAAGGAAACTTCCAGTAAATCTACCTAATCATAACTCTTTCGTTTCGAGAGAGAAAGCTATAGTCTGAATGGCAATGGCAAACGGCGCGTTTTAGTATTCGATGAAAACTTTAGAAAATTTCTCAATTATAAACTACGTATATACAAATCTTGAGCTGCACGACATTATTCACTACATAGGAAATCAGGCTCATGCATAAAAGCCGGGAAATGTGAGAACTTCGCACATTGTCACGAATAATATTTTAAAAGTTTCATATAAGTGAGGACTTAAGAGAGGAGTTTGTTTTGCTTGGGAAACGACATATTTATTACCAATTCTGTCAGGTATTTCACAAAAATAAGCTTAGAAGAGCTATGTACGTCTTTAACTTTTTAACAGTTTCTAGAATCAAATAAACGAACGATTACGCAGACTTCAGGGGCGCAAAATGCTCTATGTTCTTTACTGCTAATTATTGCTTCAAAGAAGAATATTTTGACAAGAATGAGCAGACAAAGTACATATGAGGTATTAAGAACAACGAACAACTAGCACCTCAAGAGTATTTTTAAAGTTATATTGCTCTGATAAATTTATTCGCTACATAATACATGTTCATGCACTTCTACTTCAATCGCCACAAAAGAAAATTGGAAAGCTCTTGCTACCCAACTTCAACTATTCGTCGATACCCTTATCTGTATCTCTCCTAATTATGTACCTGAGTTCGAAATAATAGGACTTGAATTCTATGAAATGAATCGTGCAGCATCTGAGAATAGAGATAGAAAAAAATCTTATAACTCAGTGCTTTTTACTTCTGAATGTCCCGTACAAGAATCTTTTTAAGCAAAACCAAAGATGAGATTGAAGATATCAGCGATTCTGACTGAGATCCTGGTGAATTATTATAATTAAACTACTTGTTTGATGGTATTACATTTATACATTTCGGGAAAAGAAGCATTAAGCAGTCATGTTTGATGCTTCATCACATTTTTCAGTTGGTAAATTAATATCATATATCGCATCCGGTTGGATTCGAATATAAAAATTGATGGACTTGAGCGTTTGCAAACCAATGGAAAACATTCATGTGTCTGCCAATATCATAAGAAAATCGTCGATGTTTGTCAAAATACTCTCTTTAATTGTTTGATATTGTTCTTGTAATTGGTATTTTATATTTTGAAAAGTTTCAAGCACATTCTCAACATTCATTATATTGACAAGAGAAAACTGCCCATGTAGTATTGTCTTATGACAGTGTGAGTACATTGTAACAGCCGATAAACACCTGAATCATGAGAAACGATAGGCTACGCACTCAGTTTCTCGTTACAAATGACCTTTGGAACGTTTATTTTGGCACTTCCAGTAAATACAAGAAGGAGATATGTGATTATGTTCACGAAATTTTGTTTTCTGTTTTTTTTCTTTCATTTGAAAATAAAATACAACATAAGAATTGAAAGAAAAAGAAGAAACATGATATGACTTGAAGAATATTTCAATGATAACAGGTTAGCGTTCTTTGCCCAACAAGGTCACAATCACGATTAGTGATAATCAATTGCCTACATAGATTAGAAAGGGTATTCAACCATTTCTAATTTTCGAATAGTAAATGCTTTCTGTCATTTGTTTGATTCTTGCCGATGGAGTACACTGTATTGCAACAATTTCATTAACAGGTTCTTGTCTTTGATTCCAATGGAGAGATTAACAAGATTCTCTTCTTCAATATACTTGAAAAAATCGTCTGGTTCGTATTCACCAGCAATTAAATCATTGATAAACATATCGATATGACCATTGTCAATCCAATCGCTTTGGAAAATTCGTTGATTACATTACTAACTAATTGAATAGCTGCGTCACTGCCCAGGTCGAACAATCCGGCCCGGAACCGACCAGTTCCAGGACCTTCTGGGGATTTCATGGAAGCAGTATTTCGGCGGTCGGATCCTTTCATCGGATTTAAAAGGTTTTATCGAGAACCAGCAAGAACCCGCCATAACCGATAGTCGGATACGGTTACCGGTTCCTTTAGTAGGATTCCGAGTCTTTTCTCGTGGTTTCCAGCGCGGAAAATATGAATATCCGGCGGGTTCTCGCCGGAAATTAGCGGAATACTGCTTCCAGGAACGATCGTCCTGGGTAGGTAAAACAGATGAGGAAATCTTGAAATGATCATTTTGGTTGACACTAAGGAGAAGAATACAAATGTTGCGCCATACGATAATCATCTCATCCAATGTACTGCTATTGAACAATAACGGCATGAGCCACATTCCAAATGGAACCTATAATCCATACAAAAATGGTATGCGCATGTTTACGTATACCTTTTATTTATTCATGTGTTATATGGAAATTAGACGAATGATTTACCTGTTTTTTGTTTAAATGTTTAGATGCGTTTTTCTTGACATTTTTCATGAAATGGTCGAGACATGCATGAACAATCGTAATTTCTAGGTCTTGTTTACTGGCTGTATGGTGTATAATGCGCCAGCATCTTGCAATGTAACGATTCATGGTTTCGTTCCGATTAAAAATTTGAATACCAGCACTCAAAAATACTAGGGCACAATCGGGATGAATGATAGGTGGCTTGGAGAATTGTTCAGAATAACCATAGACTTGTTTATATTTTTCAATGAAACAATTCATCCATTGAATAATATCCATGGTACCATGTGATTTGCTCAACGTTGATGTAATAGAAAGAGATGGGCCGCCTTTAATCAGGTTCGTCGTTGTTGATTCATAATAATAATTTTGTTTTTCTCGTTTCATTACAATATCACCAGTTGCATCCCATGAGAGTGTCATGTTTCAAGCAAATTTGTGATATGCAGCAATACCTCCTGCTGTAAAGCAAATAAGTCGTAACGGCTTCATACCTATTACTTGAAGATATCCTGGAATTTGATCACCAGGAAATATATTTTTTGCTTGATGCGCTTGATCCTACAGAGTTTCTCTCACTTGCCTTTTTATTGTTGTTAGACAGCAGTTGAAGTTGAGCAAGATGAAGGACATTTGGCGTAGCACCAAGTGAAGTAAGCTGCTGCAAATTTTCACGGCTGCTCCCACGATATGGTCTTGCATGTGTCTCACCTATTATATGATCAACATGTTCTGAGTAAGTAACATTAATTGTACCATTTTCATTGACGATAGCATGAAATTGACAAGAGCATGTGCTAAAGACATAATGAGCATTTGCACTCAAAAAGAATTCAGCGCTATTGCCGAATGAACTGCGCGTAGTAAAGTGATGTCGTTCGTAAGCAAACACACAATAATCATTCGAGCGTCTCACATACTCGTCTAAAATTACTGTCTATTCAAATTTTCTTCCTTGATTCTCAGCCGTATCGAATTTTCCGGAGTATTGTTGGATCCGTTGGGATATGGTCGGAATCTGGGGAAAGTTATCGGGTGCTGTCGGTGGGATCCAGCCATAATTCGTCGAAAGACTTCTGATTTTGGAGGAAACTGACGGAACTTTCAGGCTTTTTGGAAGCCTTGATAATCCGTTTGATTTTTCCGCACAGTTCCCCTTGGGTACGATCGGTGTCAGGGGCCGGAACGGCCGTCCTAGGCAAGAATCCAAGTTAATTTCTCTTCGTTATATTTCACCATATATCGACATCAATGAGGCTTTTAGATTCAAGATAAGAAAATCGTTCGTGTCGGATCATTCACAGTTAGCTTCAAAATGGAGTGTTCCAGTTGAAATCCGAACTCAGTGGTAGGCGAAGAAGAAAGATCGAGAGCATAGATTTTTCTCGAACAACATACTTAAAGTTTGACAACCATACAAAAGAATTTTGAAAGTTCACATTGAAGAAATGTTCATCAAAATACTTTTTCAATGGACGATAATCTAATTCAAGTACCAGTTCCGTGGCTTACATTGACGATACGTATAGTCCTATATATTACGTTGAAACTTTGGACGAAGAAACACTTTAAAGAACTAATCATACAGTAATGCAACGTACTGAAGAAGCCTATAATGCAGAATACGTATGTAAAAATTTTTAGACAGACAAGAATAAAAAATGACGCGCCCAAAATAAATTATATTGCCACCTTTCTTTCCTAGGGCTCAGACACCGCAGTACAATTTTCTTCAAATGGATAATTTAATCTACTAAAAAATAAAAACTTTTGGAAAGGTCAAAGTAAAAAGTGACTAGAAACGCATTTTGTTTCAAACACGTTTCTCCTAGGGTAGTGTTTTTATCGGAGGGTGTCAACAATTGCGACAGCTTTTTATGATAGCCACGACTTTGCTCCTGTCGATGTGGTGCAGTGAAATACAAGAATGTATAACATGCTTTCTCGTCTCGAAGAAATAGACGACATGCGAGTTAATTTCTGTCGTCTATCCCAACATAAAAGCTAACCAACATACAATACAAAATTTCAGAATTATATCTTTAATCACTACCACGTAAATATAACGAATAGTATAGGCCAACACTACCAGTATTCATACTGGTGACACGATACGGAAAACAAGTACAACTTGAGGAGCTCTATCGTTTCCAATCATAAAAAATTTGACATTCCGCCATCCCACGCCCTCGGATCGAGGAGAGAGTTCTTTAAGCCAGTTCTTTTGAATTTGGAACTTCGAACTGTCCTAGGCCTATCTTGGAATTGCGAAAACGATTGCGTCTTAAACGTGGTCGAGTTTGACGAGGTAGGTACCTCCGTGTTCAAGGTCCTTAGGCCCCACCTTCTGTCGGCAAGTAGACTTCAATGAGGTATGAAAAACCCCAAGAGGTTTTGTGCATTTGCGCTGTTTTTGCCGAGATATCGAATTCTTGAGGGTGTGGGGTAAATAGGGGTGAAAATTTTTTATGATTGGAACCGATAGAGCTCATAAAGTTGTACTTGGAACCAGTGTTAGTTCGATTGGAATCCACGCTGAAACGGATCGGCTCAAGAAAATGTCGAATCCTGTCCGAAGGTATCCTACGTTAGGCAACCGCCTGAAGTTGAGAATGAATCTTGGTGATGATATTAACTTTGGTAGATCTTTTACGTAAAGAAATAGTGCATGGTGATAGAAATTTGAAGCATATTGTAATTTCTATGTTCTAGTTTTTTAACACGTGATGCTTTTGTTGTAGATATTTCTATATAGAGTCACCGGGTATCCGCGCTAGTATTATAATATAACTATGTAGAGTTCAATTGTATCAATATGGTATAAACATTTATTTTTCATACAAAAAAACACATGGACAAAGAAAAAGTATTTATTCTAATGAAATCACAAATATTTGGCGACAAAAAATACTCTTCAAATAATCGTTGTATTCGTTTTCATTGTATCTGAATTAATTATTTGACGAATTTGTACTAAGAGATGATGAACAGGCAATAAAACACTGACATGATTTTCTCCAATATGTTGATTTATCTAAATAAAAATCATATCTCAACTTGTTATACTATTTTACAAAACACTTACCGTTTCACTATTCAGTTCATAAAATTGATAAAGTTTAAAAAGGCAATCAATTGCTGTTTGATCTGCAAGTATTAATGATCGAACATCCATTGATGACAATAATAGAGAATTTCTCAAAGGTGGTGCTGATAACTGAAATGAATCTGTTTGAAATGTTCGAAAATATTTTCGATCATCTTCAAATAAATCTTGAATCAATCTTGGAAAGGTTGTATCATGAGTATGAAAAATATATTCTAAACCATCAGCGATAACATTCAAACATGATTGAATTATTGAACAATTTGATCTTGATATTAATAGAAAATGTAAATGTCGAATAAGATCACTGATCAATTGAATATAATCATCGAATGAATCAATGGAAANTAGTCGGATACGGTTACCGGTTCCTTTAGTAGGATTCCGAGTCTTTTCTCGTGGTTTCCAGCGCGGAAAATATGAATATCCGGCGGGTTTTCGCCGGAAATAAGCGGAATACTGCTTCCAGGAACGATCGTCCTGGGTTGTATTTCTATTCAATTTTTTCGATGATTTTTCTATTGAATTGAAGTGTCTATACTACGAAAAATGATGTGTAATTATTACTAAATATTTTTCTTGGTTGTCAAATAAACATATTTAATTCGATGCTGTATGTTCGTGTGAAATTTCGCTTCCACGTATACCAAGAACTTCTTACCGAGAGACCGACAGACGAGATTCGATTAGAAAAGTAAGAAAATCCAAAAGTCAATATCGATGAACAAATGAAAATCTTTTTTTTCGAGTTTATTATATAGACATTAATATCGATCACACATCATTATCGACATACATATTGGCTAGCCGCTCAAGTTTTACGGCTAGATAAATGTCGCGAGCTGATTAGGTGATGATCAAAACTAGACTTGTATGTTTATCATACAGTACGAAAACGCTATACTCATGTTCTACTTCTTTGTAAGCGCGCTTATTTTATTATTTTTTTTCTTCATTATTATTATTATTATGACATGTGCACAAAAAACTTCACACATTGTCGCGCAAGTAATCTCGAGAACAGAAAGCCAGCAAGTTTTAGTTCGAACGCTGGGTTCAAATACGAGAATCAGGTTATAATAATTTCTTTCCAATTTTTCGTATCACATTCTATTCGTTTACAGCGTGTGCCACGTGAAAGACTGACTAATTAAAATTGTATTACAAGTTAAATTAACAAATAATAGGAAAAAATAATTAAAGCTATACGTGTTACTCGTTGCATGTAAAGATAATGATAAGAAAAATTCGTCAAATGTATTGGTAAAAATCAGTCAGCATTAATTGAACATCTTTAAAAATTATCAAAAGTAATCATTAGTATTTTTCCTCTTTCCTCACGATATTTCGATTTCGCGCTTTCGTAACACCTTACGCATACGAACCTTGACTAACTATACAATCGATGTTATTTCGGGCGCATTACAAAGTATGGACGAGCATCATAGGTTGCGAAGAGAAAAAGCTCTGTCGCCCTGTACTGTTTAATCGCTATTTTTATAATGTCAAAATCGTAAAATTACCAAAATTTATGATTCGTGGTGTTTGTTACTCTCTCATAATTTTATCCGTATCGTCACAAGTCCCTTCCTTTGCTTTTTATTAATTATTCTTATGTCATTTTCGATCCCATTTCTTTGTAAATTCCACACGATTCAAGATTGTATTCAAATACCAGTTCAACAAGACAGAATCCTATCGTTGGACCGCGGAGAAAATTATAATCTTATCCGATTCGCTATACAGGAAAAGAAAAGCAAAGAACCATTCGAACTCTATATACTTGACATTTTTCCAGTTTTGTCTAAAGTCATCATCATCATCGTTACTATATCGTTCAAATGAACTTGCTAATTTCACCACAGCGTCGAAGAAAGTTTTGACAAAGTGTATGACTGTTATTGGAGATGGAAGTGACAAGCAAATTTCTTAGCTATTCTTATCTTATAGATGTTCTCCATCACTCTCGCTCTTTGTCTT